GGTAAACCCTCAGATGGGTAAATATGTGGTCTTTGGTTTAAGCCTCATTTGAAGAATTTTACTCAATGCACTGTAGATTGACTTTTCTTTTTTTATAGTATAGAACGCCAAAAAGACATTGACTGGGACTGAATTATTTGCACACAAACATTCATAAACATTTTTATTTTCGTCCCATCCGGGCTGCTATAATGTAATGTGTGCCTAGTCACAATATTTTGTGTAGTAATTCTCACAGAATCGTTTTTGCAAACATGTTACAGTAACAAGATTAAATGATAGTGGTGAACTGAATGACAGTCTTACAGTTTGGGAAATAAACACGTCCTGAATTCGTAAGTGTGCTCATTTGTAAAAAACAAAAAAACAAAAAAACACATGACATAAAAGTTATAAATTGATTAGCATGTCATTGAGTACAATAAGTATTTGATTCCCTTACAACACACTTAGTACTTGAGTACTTGAGTACTTAGTACTTCGTAGAGACAACCTTGTTGGCAAGCACAGCGGTAAGATGTTTCTTGTAGTTGGTCACCAGATCAGCACACATCTCAGCAGGGAATTTGGCCCACTCCTCTTCACAGAAACTCTATAAATTATTTTAGCTTTCTTGGCTCGTGCTTGGCAACTCATTGATGTACTTCTTCTTCAGCCACTCCTGGCAGTTATTTTGGATCATTGACCGGCTGAAAGGCCCATCCAGGACCGATTTTGAATGTTCAGGTTGAGGGAAGGAGGTTCTCGTCCAAGATTTTTTTTTTATACATGGGTCTGTCCATTGGCCCCTCACTGCAGTGAAGCCATCCTGTACCCTTAGCAGAAAAACAGCCACCAAACAGAACGTTTCCACTTCCATGCTTGATTGTGGGGATGATGTTCTTTGGGTTATACTCAGTGTTTCCACAAACACAGCAAATGAATGTCATGCAAAACTTTCATCTAACCACAGTTTTTTTCTCCCAAACCTTCTCTTAATCATTTAGATGTTCACTGATAAACGTAAGATAGGCCTGTACACATGCCTTCTCAAGCGAGGGGATGTTGGGATCATCAATCCATTACAGCATATTGTGATACCAATGAAGTGCTTGGTGACCGGGGTACCAACTGCCTTGAGATCAGTTACAACCTTGTCATGTGTAGTTCTCGCCTAATCCACCAACTTTCTCATTTTTATTCTCACCCCACGAGGCAAGATCTTGCATAGAGCTCAGACTGTGGGTGGCTGATGGTCACTTTGTTTTCCATTTTTTAATAATCTTGGCAGAAGTTCACCTTCTCACCAAGCTTTTTGCTGATGGTCTTGTAGCCATTCCAGCAGTCCACAGTCTTGTCCCTGAC